TCGAATAAGACTGAATACCACTGAGGTTAGAGAGATGCTTTTAGCAATGCAGTTTTGAGGAACCTTATATCCACCTAGCCGGAGAAGAATAATACCAGTTTCCGTTCAAGTTATTATAAGAATGAATTATAAGCCAGATAAATTAGGAAATTATGGGCATCTACGACCTTATAAGTAGAGAGAAACTACTAGTGATAATATAAACGCACTACTAAATAAGGAGAGAGAATAAAGCCTTTCTATATCTCTATCGGGGATAATAACTAACAAAATAGATACTTATCCTGAATATCTATTAAGAACCTAATTATATTAGAGGAACTTATCTATATACACATAATATATAAGGAATGCTTCTAGTCTATCACTTTCCATTTAACGAGGAATCTAATAAAGAAAACGAAACGCTTAGCGACTAAGAGAAAGATAAAACATTTATCTAAGTAGAGTTTAACACCTAGAAGATAGCTACACTAATAACAAAGACACAACATAAAGAAAAATACAGGATAGTCGTTAATCATAGTAATGTAACAATACTAGTAACAAAGTACTAAAGAAATACACTGTGTACCTAGATATATAGAAGGGAGTATACTACAGAACATAAAAAGTTTAATCCTAAAGAGAACTCAAGAAATAAAGAAGACCTAGTACTCATGACAAAATATAAAGGAATATATAAAGGACTAATTTATACACATAATATATTAAGAGAAGATCATTATAACTTTATGTTCAATAAAGAGCTAAATATAGATAACTTAAAACCAAAATATAATATTATGTTATTTCATGGATACTATCACGCGATTATTAAAACACTAAACTAGTCTTACTATGAGGAAAAAGTACCCAAAATATATATAGTCAGTAACGAACTCAGGTTAAACTATGCTTAAAAGCAAGATAAGAAGAAGCCGATACCAATATAGCGATACTTTAGATATTTAGGCCTAGCCCTATATATACACTAGACCGGCACCGAAGAACTCTATTTCTTCCCATTCAAAGAACGTGATAATCTAACCCCAGAAGAGATTGACCAAGATATAATGAGACACTATATTAAGAGGGAAAGGATAAGGGATATTATGATTATAAAAATATATCATTAAGTCTAGACAGCAGAAGGGGTTCGAAGGTATAGTCTCTATATTAACCTAAATACTCACTGGATTTCTATGACCTTATATTTATATCATGATAAATAATGTCTACACAAAAAAGAATACATACATAATATAATTAAAAGCGAAACACATTACCTACTATATAAGTCAGAGAATCTCATGATAATCAGTACCTCTAAAGAAACCAATAAGAATAATCTACACCAGTTTATTATAATCAAGACAGCAAAAATATATCTCTAGTTCTCGACTTCATTCTGGAGACTAGTAAAGTGTGAATAGATAAACTGCCTAAATAAAGCGTTACACTACTATCTAGAGTATAATCCTGAAATAAATAAGAAGGATAAGGTTCTTGTACTAGCCAAAAGATAATATATTAACATGATATACGCCTACGCACCTAAGATACACGCGTATTTAACAGTGAAAGATATAATTGAATCACTAATCGAGATACTTCTATATGTTTTCGAAAACAGAGATATAACCATAAGCGACGCGCCAAAAAACTAGGTGAAGGACCTATTATAAGGCGAAAGGTCTCGCGTAATAGAAAAAAGCCTTAGAAACGCTATATCAACATAATATAGACTTAGCGTTTAATATCATTAGTCTTCAGCGCTAGACTAGCTGATAAGTCTATCTAAGTGATGATTAATAGTGAAGTAAGCTAAGACTATATATCACTAAAAACAGCAGTAAAACTGAATAAGCAAAGAAAAAAGAATCTATACTCGATCTTTATAATAGACAAGACACTAAGTGAGTATAATAGCGAATAGATATAATAGAAAATTCATGATATCTATCTAGAGATCGAGAAGTATAGAGAGTAAGTCAAGCTTAATATAATGCTGATTAAGTATAATATTATTCTAAGGATAAAGTGACTAAAAGAACACTTATTAGTAATAAACTAAAAAGAAGAAATCTTATCCTTTCTAAATTATAGTTATAAGAAGATAAAGAGAAAGAAATAATTAACTTCTATTATATCTCTATAAAGGGTGATATAGATATAGTCTAGAAGAAGAGCCTTAAATAAAATATAAAAGAAAAGCCTATCTAAGGAATATAAAGACTTTATAGATATCTTCAAAAAAAGAGAAGATATAGTCGCGCTACTAAAGCATAAACTATAGGACTATAAAATAACGCTTAAAGAAGAGAAAGTGCTAAAGTATAATGATTAGCTTTAATCCTTATTCCCAAAGAAAGAAAGCTTCCTTAAGAAGTATATAGAGACTCACTTAAAGAAAGACTTTATTTAACTATCTAAGTTATCTATAATATATAGTGTACTGTTCGCCCCAAAAAAGAATAGATCTCTTCGACTATATATTAATTTCTAATCACTCAATATAATCACCAGAAAGAATCAATACCCACTATTCTTAATCAAGAAGCTACAGAACAAACTCCTTAATGTAAAATACTTTATCGCGCTTAATATATAGAATGTTTACTACTAAGTATAGATAAAGAAAGACCATAAATAGATAACAACTTTTAAAACTAGCTTTAGATTATATAAGTATTATATTATGCTGTTCAAATTAATTAATACCTTGATATCCTTCTAGAAACTAATCAATAATACACTATAAGAATATCTTAATAACTTCGTAGTTATATACTTAAACAATATACTTATATTCTTAAAAATATATAAAGAATATATACAATATATTTAAAAGATTCTAAAGAAACTTCAGAAAAAGGACCTATCATTAAAACTCAGTAAATATAAGTTTCATAAAAGACGAATCTAATTTCTAGACCACATTATATTCGATAAGGATATTAAGGTGAATCCCAACAAAATAGCGCCAATTAAAGACTAGCCAGAACCTAAAAATATCACGAAAGTATAGTCTTTTATCGGACTACTTAACTACTACTAAAGATTCATTAAGGGATTTTCAAGGATCGCAGCGCCTTTAATGAACCTTATCAAGAAGAATGTCTCATTTAAGTTCGAACTGGAATGCAAGAAAGTATTTAAACGCCTTAAGAAAGCCATCATAATAGCGCCAGTACTTGCGATATTTAACCTTGAGCTAAAATGTTAGGTAAAGACAAATATATTGAATAAAGCGATTAGAGCCCGCCTCACGTAAAAAGAACTAAATAGTAAGACCTAAACAATTATATATTTCTTAAAAAGAATAATAGAGCCAAAATTAAACTACAATATCTATAACAAAGAGTTACTTGTCATTATGATATACCTCAAGAAATAAAGAGTATATCTTAAAGATACTAAATATTAAGTTTAGATCTACACTAATCATAAGAATCTACTATACTAAACAACTATAAAAGAACTTAATCATAAATAGATTTAATAAGCAAAAACACTCACACTATATAACTTCAAGATATATTATATCTAAGGAAAAGAAAACACGATAGTAGACACGCTCAGTAAATAGCCAGACTACATGGAAAACATTAAACCAGAGTCTATGGCGATACTCAAGGAAAAGAATGACGTCTTGATCTATATAACACCTAAAATAGAGATACTAACTCTTATTAAAATCGAGCTAATAAAGAAGCAAAAAGAAGAAATCATTAAAGGGCGATATAATAATAAGTTAATAAGGTATCTAGGTATCAAGAAAACACTTAAACTAGTCACAAGAGACTTTGCTTAGAAAGAAATCAAGAAAGATATAACGAAGTATATCAAGAATTGCGATATATATTATAAAGTAAAATATATATAATATAGACTCTATAGATTACTCTAGACACCAATAATATCGAGAGAAACATAACACACTATCGCACTAGATTTCATTATAAAGCTATTAAAGTCTAGAGAACCTCTCATAGGCGTGGAATTTAATAGTATACTTATAATAAATAATATTCTGACTAAATATATAGAGTTCATTCTATATAAGGAATTATTAACAGTGAAAGATCTAGTATATACATTATACAAAAATATCTTTAGTTAATATAAGATACCAAAAGAAATACACTTAAATCAGGACAAGCTATTCACATCATAGTTTTAGTAATCACTAATAGACCTCACAAGAGTCCATCAAAAATTATTAATAGCTTTTCACCCGCAAAGTGACAAGTAAATAAAAAGAATAAATCAAACACTAAAACAGTATCTATAGTGTTATATTAACTTCTAGCAAAACGACTAGATATAGCTACTATCTATAGCGCAGTTTATATTTAATAATAAAGCAGCAGCAATAGAAATATTATCGTTCTATATAAACTATAAATTTCATCTAAGAATAAATAAGAATACTAAAGACATTAAACTAATTACAGAAAAAGTAGTAATCTTGGTTGAAAAGTTGCGATCACTACACAGACTTTTAAAAAAAGAACTTAAGAAAATATCACAAAAAACAGTTAAAAACTTGAATAAACGAAGATCTAAGGGACTAGACTTCAAAAAAAAAGAGACAGTGTACTTACTTAGAAAAAAAATTAAAACACAATAACCATCGAATAAATTAGATCACACCAAGATTGAACCCTACAAGATCAAGAAGAAACTTGGACCAGTGAACTTTAAATTGAAACTATCTAGAGGGATAAATATCTATCCAGTTTTCCATAAATCACTTCTTAAAAAAGCACCACTGAACGCTAAACCAGGACCGATACTAATACATGAAGAAACCCAATAACCAATGTACAATATCAAAGAAATCCAAGACCACAAATCGATCAAAGGAAAAATGCACTATCTAATTAAATGGTTAGGGTACAGCGAGGAAAAGAATTCATGGGAACCAAAAGAGAATCTTACCCAGCAGATAGTAACCAAGTATTATTTAACCAAATGGCTTCCCAGTCAACAGACTCGGAGATAGGGGCTTCGGCCTAGGCGAAGTCAAGGTCACCCAGGGCCACTTCGCCATCCTTAGAGAGGTTATCCAGCACACCTAGAGCGCGTATCTCGCGCTGCAACATAACACTGAACTTCTCTTCTAGTTTTGCTAACGACTCCTCACTCTTCACTAACTTGAACTTCGCGAAGACCAGATCCTTCTCGGCCTTAAACATCTTATTCATTGCCTCCAGCAACTCTTTACGCGTCTCAGTCATTATAACACGCAAACAGAGGATTCAACGCTAGTGTTCGCGAGATTTACGCTAAAAGGCCTTCTTCTCTTTACCCACTTTACGAAACTCGGCCAAAGTGAAGGTTTCATCACAGTCACATTAGTGACAGATATATTCAGCGCACTTCACTGACTGCGCGCGGTCGTAATAACACACAGCTCCATGAGCCACGCACTGCGAGCAAGCGACCATGGCGATATTCTTGAGGATAGAGATAAAATCGGCAAGCTGGTGTTGACGAACAAACCAAGAAACAAGAGGCTTAGAAGACTTTGGTTTGCCACGGGACGGTTTTTTAACACGAAAAGCCTGTATGGTTAGCCATGAAGAAGAGAAAAAAAGAGGAATGGAAGGGGAGCGCCTATCTTATATATATTGCGGACAACAAACAAGTCTAGGAGGGAGAAAGTGTTATAAGTCAGCCTGCCCGTAGGCCGCATACCAACCCGTGACCATAGGACACCAGAAAGGGCAAGTCAGGCGAAGCAGCCTTGCTAGCAAGGCTAACGCACGTGACTTCCCGATCAGGAAGGAAGGTGTTATGGTGTGATGTTATAGTGCTGCAGTGGCTAGCATAACCACACTATAACAGAGCAACACAACAACATAAGCATATATATACACGGTCGTTTTATAGCCTTACTACATAGTCAACTTCGTTCACGATTATACCCATACATTTTGGTTATGATCATTTCGCTCTAGTACTCGCTCAAGTACTTCGTTCTCAGTGACCTCGCCTCCTATACTTCCCACTTATCAAGGAACGATATATTCAGTGACACCCTTGGTGGAGCGAAACATAACAAGAACGCTATAATAGCCATGAGTGCGCGAAAGATCTTAAGTATAAGGATTACTATATATATATTATTCTATAAACATTATAAGTCGCCTTAAATATATATATACACTTTATATTTAGCAAGAAATCTATTATTAATAATAATAATAATAATAAAGTTCTATTATAGTCTAATTTAGCTCTCTCTTAAGACTATATAGACTTTAGTAATTTTCAAGGAAAAACCTAAATCTTATTAAGATTTAAGAAAATCTTCGACTCTCCTTCGAGTCGCCTGCATTTTATAGATGCCTTTCTTGCTACTTTTTTTGTCGCTTTATAATTATCTTTTCCTTCGATTTATAGAAGATCTTGTTCTATCACTTAGTATAGTCCCTTAGGGGTGTATACTTTAATGTCTCTTTCTTCTCTATCTTCCTTGTAAGTTATAGGTATCTCAGTACCCCTTATGCGAGCAGTTAGCGAGCTGTGTACTTTATAGCCTTAGGCCTTGAGAGTATCTTGTTGACTCTTTATGTTTTGTAAGCCTAGAGAAGCTTCTCTTGTTTATACTTTTAGTAATATAGAAGAACGTGATATACTATTTCTATATATTGGTCGCATAAGTATAGCGAGAGTATACTTAGGATATCGATTCTTGCTAGCTATTTATTGAGCCTAATTATCTTTATTCTAAGAAGAAATAATGTTATCACTTTAGCTTTCAAGAGGCCTGTGTAAAGCGTGTGTCTATTTAGCTTTTAGTTGATTATCTAGATTATTAGGGGATTAGGATCCCTTAAGATCGCTTTAACCTTTTTTTATCTAGCTTTCTAGTCGCGATCTATAGCTTTATAGAGAGTTATCCCCTTTAATAGCGATATCTCTAGATAACGATAGTGATGCTATTTATATAAGGTTTACTAGTGACTTATCTCTTCTTTAATATAGATATTTATCTTCTTTTAGATATATTCTCTAGTGAGGTGTAAAAACTTTACTCAGTGTTAATATCTTGTTCTAAGATTATTCTATACTCTCTTAAACGCTTTCTAAATACTCTTCTTGACCAAGTTATATATAGTTCGCAGTGTACTTCTTCTTGTCTAGATAAGAACGATAAGATCGAGTGAGAGTATATATATCTCTCTCTCTAAGGCGGCTTAGAGAGTTTTTTTATATCTTCTTGTTATGCTTTAAAGATATCTATTTTGTATCTTTATTAATGAGCTAATATATGAGATTAAGAGCGATCCTTACACGATTTATATACTTTATTTCTGCGAGCTATAGAGAAGAATTAGCTATATTATCGCTATATAAAGAAGCCTAGTATTTTATATCGATAGTTCTTAAATTAATATAACTAGCTAAGTTAGCGTCTTTAATACTGCGAGTCCTTTATAGGCTATATACACGATATACTCTTTCTATATAAGCTTTAGATTAAGCTATATATCGAGAATCTTAATCGCCTTTTATTTCGAGGCAATTTTTTGTTTTATGATCTAGATATTATTTATTTATAGGTTACTAGTGAGTCGCTTACTCTTTATAAAGTAAATAAGCTAATATTTCTCTGAGGCGAATTTTGTCTTATAACTCTTTACTTATTTCTTATATTCTTAATAAACTATATTTAGTTTATAATAATTATGCTTCTCGCTTAGACTCTATATAATAATATTTATATTATTAATAAAGTTAAAGTTTATAGTGTTGTCTTATTTATTAGTAAGGCTTTCGAGAAGCCTTAAGATATAAAAGAGAAATAGAATCGACGATAAAGAGAAGCTTTATAGAATATTTATTTTGGCGTTTATTTAGTCACTCTTGTGCTTTATATATATAATTTATATGTATCTTCTAGATAGAAAGCTTTAAATAGATTTAACTAGCCATTTCGAGAAGTTTTTTCTTATAAGGATATTAAGTAGTGTGTTATAAAGTATATTGTTAAAGACTCTCGTGATATTAAGGCTTAATATCGATATTATATAGCCTAATTATGTTTATTATATACGCTCTATATAAGTCATTATAAGGTCGATAGCTAAGAGCGTTAATCTATTTTAATGTTTACTTATCTAGTTTTAAGGGAGAAGATTATATTTCTTAGTGGCGTTTATTATATAATTAGTTAACACTTTCTCTATGAGCTTCGCTAAGGTATTCTTAAGGGCTATTAATTTATATACACTTAAGAGAGAGTAGTCTTTCTTTTTCTTCTTTTTTAGAGCGAGAGTTATAAACTTCTTTATCTTTTTAGAGAGCTTTTCTTGCGCGAGAGCTTTACTTATTATGTGCGCTAAGTAGTCATTAATTATAAGTGAGAGTTACTTTAGTACTTTATTTAATATTTTATTAGGTCTTAAGGCTTTTTAATTTAGAAGCTTAACTATTAGGCTATAAACTTTATTTATTGTTATCTTTTACTGAATATTTAGTGTATTTATTGTGTACTTCTCGCACTCTTTTTATTTACTTGTTAAGAGAGAGAAGAACTTCGCTCTAAGGATTTTATCTTTCTAGGTGTCTATATAAACTAGATTATCTTTTAATATATAGTGTAATAATGATAGATAAGGATCTTTATATATAGTGTATATAGCTCTCTTACTTTACCTAGTTATTCTCTAGATATTGTCTTTATTCTTATTTTATGTAAGGCTCTTAATATATTGACGCTAGTTAGCTTTTATATTTCTTCTTAGTTCTTATTTTAGTCTATTTATAAGGTGATATAATTCTTATAGTGTCTTCTAGTTTTTTGTTGCGATATATTTACACTTTATATATCTTGAGCTCGCTAGTAGTTTAAATATTATTAGTGACTAATTAGGCCTCGCTCTTTATAATGATCTAATTAAAAGATAGTGTCTTTTTAGGCCCTTTATAATTATTTATTATAAATCTTTTAGAGTGTCTTCTAGTGATATAGCTTTAATATCTTTTTATAGGCTATATATATCTAGTTTATTGAGTGTGAATCGCTTACTCTTTATTTGTAGTATTACTAGGTCGATATCTAGAAAAAGACGAATTAAGATATAGTTTTTTATTAAGGCTCATTATAATATTATCTTATAGTATACTATTCTTGTGCTAATCGCTTACTTTATGAATACAAAATCGATAACTAATTTTCTAGTTTCTTGTTATTAAGTAATGTTTCCTTATTCTGTAAGTAACTATAGTCTTTTAATCTTTATAGCTTAAAGTAGATAGTTTATATACTAGTTATAGATGATTTCTCTCTCTCTCTATTTAGGGTGATAAGTATTGAAGTCGCCTAGAAGTATTATCTAGCTCTAGGCCTAGTTTATAGCTTGTTAAATCGCTAACTATATAGAGAGCCTTATTCTATCGCCTAAAGAATTATAGATATTAATGATTAAGATACTTCTATTCTAAAGGCTTAGTTCTAGTCTCACTATATTTAGTTTATATTATTTATGGTTTTAGTGTGTTACGCTTATATCTCTTCTAATTATAAAGTATATCTTTATCTTTAATATTGCCTTATACACTAGCTAATAAAGCTTTAGATAGTATATTGATTTTATATACTTATTTTAGTCTAGTTCCTAAATTACTAAAATAAGTGATTAAGTGAAGCTATTAAATAGCGTGTGTATAGTATATATATTTAAGTTGCCATAGTTATATTGAATAATCCTTAGTCTATTCATTTTAAGAGCTAAATTCTAGGATCTCTCCTAGTATCTAGCTCTTAGTGAAGTTAATATGACTTTATTATGGGTCGCGTGCTATTACTTTTATTATTATGAGTTTATCGACTTTTCTCAAGATTATTGACTTTAGAGAGACTTTTTAAGGATATTTATTAAATATTATTATTTATCTCTAAGTATTTATTGCTGCCTGATTAAGTATGATTTATATACTAAGTATATATACTCTCGCTATAAAATATCTATAGATTATCTTATTATAATATTATTAATAAATAGTGTATTCTTATCTATACTATATAGTGTGGACTTTACTATAGGCTGTGTATAATATTTTAGTCTCTTTATACTCGCTTATTTAATGGTCTCTAGTGTATCTACTATATCTTGTCTACTTTATATATATTGTTTTTATATAATCTCATTATTAGTAGTTAAAGTATTACTTTTCTTAGAGTAACCTATTAAAATAGTCTATCTTATAGAGCTAGGCCCTAATTATTAGGCTATTTTAGATAGTACTTCTTTTTATATCTTCTATATAGAAGTCTATAATAAGAGTACTATATATTTTTTCTGTGTCTCTTATATATTAAACTTAATGCTATAAGTAGAGCTATTTAATTCGGAAGATCTAGATTCTTGAGGCTATATTTCTTAACCTTTTATAAATCTAACTTACAAGATATATATTGTTTATATACTTTCTATATATAAGTTCTATACTGAGTGAGAGTTTATTAATTGAGACTAGATAGTCTCTTTTATAGATTTATAGTTTCTATATACTTAATAAAGCTTGTGCTTTATTCTTGATGGCCTTGTCTAGAATAATTATATCTATATTGTTATTATGTAGCACATGGATTATAATCATAGCGCTAATAGTCTTCTTAACTTTGTTTAGCACTTCTTTATTTAGCTTACTTTTCACTGTCGATATCGAGATATATATAATATATCTATTTAGTTTTGTGTTAAGGCTACTACTTAATATCTATATTTTGGTCGCGGTCTAAGTGTCTCTCGCTGCGACTATTGTCTATATTATCTTTTCTGGCCTAGGGCTAGCTGTAAGCTTTGCTAGAGATTTTTTAATGGCTTTAAGACGCCTCTTAACCTTATTCTCGAGTACTTATCGCGAGCTAGTAGCCTACGGGACTCTCTTGGCTATCTAGCGAAGAGCGTTAAGCCACTTAGACTGTACTCTCTTCTCTGAGACCTTCTACAATCGTCTTTAGGTCTTCTTTAATTGTACTATTACTCTTTTTCAGTGGTATTACTATGCCACTCTGTCGAGCGAGTATCACACGTTTCGCAGCGTGTTTTGACGCGTCGAGACCTTTCTTAGACGCGTTTTTCTCTTCAGTATCATTATAAGCGCTTTAGGTGCCTTTTATAGGCTCTTCGCCTGCGTTATTGATATTAAATAGAGTTGCTTAAGTTATAACTATCGCTAAACTATTATAGTCTATTCGATTAGCTTTGCTTACTATTTTTAAGGCCTTTCAAGATAAATAAGGTTATCTATTATTATTAAATTTATATATAAATATCTATATAAAAGGAATAACTTATTTTTCTTAAGTATATAAGTGTTCTACCTCCTTAATTATTTTGCTTTAGAGAACTTAGCTTTATTTTGTGTTTATAACTATCTTGAATTAGCGCTAATATAAGTGCGCTAGTATTTAGCGAAAGATTTATAGCGCGAAAGAAAGATTATCTTTATAAATCTTTCGCTATTCGCTTAGCGCCTTATTAAATACTATATAAAAGAAGTAAAGATTATAAAGATCGCTTATTAATTATATAGTGTAGTTTTAATAATATCTAAATAGCTATTATCGCTATCGTTTATGAGGTGAAAAGATATTATTCTTATCTAAGTTAGTTAATATTTCACTAGAATATAAAGAGATAATAAAAGTATCGTTATGTAAGTTACCTAATTAGGTAGTAGTTACTAAATCTAAAGTAGTTACTAAAAATAACGCAACCTAATTAGCGAGATTTAATAATGTCTTTTATATTATAGAGAGTTATAAAATAGTGCTAGACTAAAGACTATTTATAACTCTAAATTATTAAATACTAAATATACTAGACACTATACTAGTCTTAAGCGTTATATATAGAGTTAATAGAGTGATTTTCACTCTCTTAGTTTGAGTTCTTTCTTTCTTAACTTATAATAATGATATTAAATCGCGAGAGATAATAATAATGTCTAGATCATTAAGATCTATAAAAGAATCTTAATTAAAAGAGAATTTATTAACTTCGCTGCTAAGAATAAAAGCTTTAATATTAAGGACTTTAATAAGTTCTAATAAGAGTATATAAAGTTACTCTATAATTTACACTTCACTAAGATTATATAGTATATTATTATAAAAGACTATATTTTTAAAGTGAAGAATTCTTTATGTTATAGATATCTAAACACACTATATATTTTTTATATTATAGCTAACTAGTTAACTAACTATTACTCTATTTTTTAGCTTTTTAAGCCTAGAGACTTACTTATTATAAATAAACACTTTACACCTAATTAGGTAGAGATATATAAAGATTAGCTTTCTTTTATAAAGAGCTTTATAAAAAGTTTTTTATCTTAATGATCTCGATAGGGTTCTATTAATAAAATAGCTAGCTATCTTAACTAGTTCTAATTATAAAAAATGAGAGAGATAGCCCTAAATCTTAAGGATTCTTATTACTTATATAATAATGTTTTCTAAGCATTTTATAGTTCTATTTTAGACTAAAGTATAAAGGGCTAAGTATTTAATAATAATTTCTAGCCTGTAAAGTTAATTATAGAAATTCTTATTTAGTGCTATTTTATTATCTAGATATAAAAATATAAATATCTTATTAAATTATATTTAGATTATTATTAATTAGTTTAAAATAATTTCTTTTACTTAAGAATAAGTGTTATAAATAAATATATAGTTTATATAGATATAAAAGTCTTATAAATAACTTATATATTAATTCATAATTTATCCCTTTAAAAAATAAATAATATTAAAGACTATTTAGTTTAAAGATTTATCTCTTTATTTCTCACTATTATAAAGAATTCTTAAGATCTATTATTTAGATTTTATAAGTATATAGATCTTATATTTCGCTATACTAAAAATGTCTTATTTTAAGACTTATACTCTCTTAATAGTATCTAGTAAATAATTAATAATATTTAGACTAGAGTGCTTTAGAACTTTATATTAAATTGAGACTAGATAACTAAGTTTTTTATATTATTATATATTTATAATTATAAATATTAAGTGTTTATAAAGTATAAATATTAAGTGATTATAATAGTTATATATATATTTAATAAAGATTTTATTTTAAAGAAATATTTCTTTTATTCTAAGTAAGGAGTTAGTTATAAAGTGAATATCTTTAATTACTATTTTTAATAATAAGATCACTTTAGTTATAAAGCTTTAAATATATAGAATATCTATTAAAATAATATAAGTAAGTTCTATAAAAAATATTATATTAATAGTGATTATTCTAATTAACTTAATTAAATATTTATTAACATTATAAGTTAGTGTCTTATTAAGATAAGAAGAATATTAAGAAGTATAATTTAGTGTATCTAGTTAGTATATATAAATATTAAATCTTAAGTCTAGAATTTAGTTATTATATAAGCTCTTATTAATTAATCTTAAGTATAAAGACCTTAAATAAATTATTATTATAATAAATATTATTTTCTTTTCTTATTTCTTTATAAAGAAGAAGAAAAACTTAGATACTAAGTTAATAACTCTTTTTATAGTCTATTTAAATCGCTTTATATAAACAGGATTCTTCTTTATTTTCTTATAAATAACTTATCTTATAGAATTAAGTTTCTAATCTTAAGACCTTATTAACTTAATAATATAAAAATATTAAGTATATTACTAAGAAATATTATAAATCTTATATATTAAAGATTAATTATTAGCTTTTTAGTCTTTAAGAGATATAAATAAATTATATAAATAAATAAAGCCTTTTTTAGAGTCTTTATCTAGATTATTAAGTCATTAGAAGAACTTAATTAACTTATAAAAATTAAGAATAAACTTCTTGTTAAGTAGCTTTATATTCTTTATTATAGTAAAGATTTCATTAAATAATTTTATTATTTATAAAAATTTATAGATTAAAGAATATTTTACAATAATTAATATATTTAGATAGCTTATATTATTATAAGTCTTAAGCTATTTATCTAGCTAATTATTAATATATTAATAGGTCTTTAAAGTCTTAATTACTTTCTTTTACTTAACTAATATATTTAGTTCTTTAAATCTATTTATTAAAGTAAATCTTTATTAAAGTTATTAAAGTGTTATATAAAGAGAGTGTTCTTCTTTTAAATATATTATAAGATTAATCAAGATTATTTCTGTTATCTAAATATCTAAAGTATTAATGATCTTAAGTTTATCTTTATATTATTTATATTGCTACTTTTATTATCGCTTTATAAAGCGAAGATTTATTCGCTATTATTCTAGAGTTTAACTATCTTAATATAAGTTCTATAAATTCAGAATAAATAGATACTTTAGAGTAGAAAGATTACTAATATTAGGGTTAATATATTTCTATATCTCTCAGTATTTAGTATATAGTTTAATGAAAGTGAACTAATTATCCTAATTTGAGGACTTGAAAAGGGTAACTATAATTAATTTTATTGATTGAGGCTCAAGATTTAGTTTCGATATATTGAGTGTTGTGATGAAGAAAGTATAGTAAGATATACTTCTTACTATGTGAATACTTAAGACGTGAAATATGTGTAGAGATCTAATGTGTTTGGATATATTTGGTTAAATAGCCTTGTAATGATAAGGCTTTACTAGAGTATTAACTAATAGGTGTCTTAAGCGAAATCAAGAACCGGGCTTATAACTGTTGTGCAACACTTAGTTCTAGGCGATATCGGGGGCTAAATAGAATGTATTGATAAGTCTGACCTCCAGGACTAGGAGGTCGCTATTCTATCTATTTATATGGCAAAGAAGTGAAAATTCTCTCGTTCTGGTGAAGAGGCTTTTCTCCCGGGCATCAGCGGCGACCGATGAGTTCCTCGTCGGGGGCCGGCGTCCTTGTGTCGGGGAGGTTTGGTTCCTCCATCCTGAGGACTATGATATAGCGAAAAAGTGACTAAAGTGAGTGAATTCATGGTGTTGCAAGGTTTGCAAAAGGAGCGCTCTAGGCGGCGGAGTTCCGCGGAGGCGTTCGGCGCAAGTATGGAGGTTGTAATGACCCCGTCACAACTCAGCCTTGTTCAACATGAGTGTAGCTCTAGGCAGCTTGTCCTGTCGTGCCCTCCTCTCCTGCACCAAAGCCATCTTGACGCCTCGCTTGAATGTCGACTGTAAAATGCCTAACGTTGCTGCAAAACGAGTGATACCTAGCTGGCCACCTATCCACCCTCTTGGAAAAACTCGACAACAGCCTGTATTCCTTTTCGCCCTAGACCTCTAGGAGGGTAGCAAATGTATAGTGGGTCATCCAGTGTGTTGAACTTCGCTCGAAAGCCGGTCTTTTTGTCCAGGTGAAATTTAGCAGCCAATGTTTGATATAATGAGTTCAGCGTTGCGCCTTTCGCGCCCCCAAGGTTGTGCCCAACGGTCAAAGTCGCCGTCGCACCGGCTCCAAAAGTACACGATTTGTAGCCCGAGTCAACAGCAGCTTTCAAGGCCGTTTGCACCGTCATTTCGACGCTTCCATTCTCAGCCCCTGGAAAATCCAATGCCCACTTGATCTGTACGCCGTATCGAGATGCCAGCTGTGCGAGAACTACCATCGAATGGATTTTTCCGTTTTTGTCTTGGGCGATAAAATATTGTCGATGTGAGGCATCTTTGAATGGAGTGATTTCGCTCAGATGAACTTGTGGGCCTTCTCGTTCCTCTTGCCACTCTTTAATTCGATTTTCCACCCTTTCTCGTAGGTCGTCGGGTACCTTGCTTCCATAGTCCTCCACTTTCACGCTCTGCTTTGCTGCATGCCTGATCTTTCGCTCAACATCGGCATCTAGGTTCAGGTGTTCATGATTGGCGAGATTGACACGTTGTTCTGCGACATTTGTGAAGCTCTTCCACCCAAGCTTGTCGCCGAGAACCTCTTCAACATCCTTATTAACCAAGACAAACAAAGGTCGAAGTTGCGTCTCACGGCGCAGCCAGCCCAGGAATGCATTGATGACATCTCCAAGCTGGCGCGGATCGCAGAGCGGAGTTCCTGGGCAGATTGCCCGGTCATGTGTAGGAACATATGCGATCGCAGCACCTGTCTTGTCGTCTCGCCAGATCTGGAATCTTTCATCCATCCAGGATGTGTTAGTGGCGTCACCATAGTTTGCCACGAGGTTCTCAAGAGGTGGAAGGCGTCCCTTTGGTCTGTTTAATGTGTTATCTTCAGGATGTTGTAATGACGATTGTCGCTTTTCCGGGAAGCTCTTTGGATCGCGAGGGAACAATGATGCATATCTCAAATTCCCCAGATCTAGGATGAGTGACACTAAGCGTTCCAGTCCAATGCCGGCACCTGCATGGGGAGGTGTCACCCATTCGAAGGCTTCAAGGTATTCCTTGAGATCGTTGGTATCCATGCCTTGGGCTTCCATGCGTTCTTTCAGAAGCGTGTAATCATGAATGCGCTGCCCACCAGAAAGTATTTCTTGTCCACGAACCATGAAGTCAAAAGAATTTGTGACTTGATCATTCTTCGCGTCATGCATAGTATAGAAGGGTCGAGCGGAAGCAGGAAACTTGTCTAGTATGTAATAGTCAGTGCGGTAGTTTTCTTTCACCAATTCTCCAAGCCGTCGTTCAGCTCGTGTCGACAGGTCTTTGAATTCAGATTGTTGACTCTCATCATCATTTATCCATCCTGAATCGTTGAGCATTTTGGCACCCTCTGCAAACGTAATTCTCGGTGTTTCTTCCAGCCAGACCAAGTCATGGTGCGGAAAGTGGTGTTTTAAGGTGTCGATGTCTTTTCGATTGCGCTCGTACACCTTCTTGAAGATCTCTTTCAAAGTAGTGTCAATTAACCACATGGCTTCGTGATAGTGACGATCAATAGCCATTTCCAGGTCGAGACCTGTATACTCCGTAAGATGTCGTGGCGTGTTCGAGTTTTCTGCTCGAAATACGGGCCCAATCTCGAACACCTTGGCAAAGTCTGCTGATATACACATTTGCTTTGCCAGCTGAGGACTTTGCGCCAGGAATGCTGGTCGGCCAAAATAATTCAACTTGAATACGTCGGCACCACCTTCCGTTGCACCTCCTTGTAGCTTCGGAGTGTGTATCTCCAAGAAGCCATGGTCTTCAAGACAGGTTCGGAAGACGCTGCACACCCTCGACTGGATTCTAAAGATTGCCTGAGCAGATGACGTTCTCAGGTCCAACACTCGATTTGACAATCTGAGTCGGTCTGATATCGAGTGACCATCAGCAGCGTCCGCTTCGTAGACGCTGAAAGGGACAGGAGCTGTTCTGGCGGAGACGACGTGCAATTCCCGGATATCGAGTTCAGCATGGTGGGTGCTGGTGCTTTTGACGGTCTGTTCTGGTTGCTTAACAATCGCTTTGGCTATGACAATTGTGCCTGTTCGAATATGTTCGGCCCATCGGACCATGTTCTCAGAGACTCCACCATTAACAGCGCGCAGAACCCCCTGGATTGTAGTGGTCTGCTCGCGGAAAATGACAAATGCAAGCTTTGCACTCATATGTCGAACGACATGTACTCGAGCACGAAATACAATTTCCTGACTATTATAGTCGGTGCCCACTCGCGTTAGAGAAGTCCAGTCGGTCTTCCAGAGGTCGCTCCTGGGCGAGTCATCCTGAGATTGCATCAAAGGTAATTTTCCATAGAGCTTTTTGATTTCAGGAGGGTCATCATTATAGAGGAAATCGTTCAGGCTCTTTGCGTGCAGCTCATGTGGTGGGACATCGGAGTCATCCTCCTCGCTGCTGGAACAGTTTTCTTTCTCCTGAATGATCCTCGCCACGTCATTCTCTGAACCCCCTCGGTATTCCTTTTCGCCATGTCGTCGGAGCGTAGCGCTCAAGCCACGTCTGTGAGTGGATACCTTGTCACGTAAGTCCAAGATGATACTTTTCACCTGGGCCATTGTGGTAGGATATGGACGAGAGCCCGGCGCCAGTACACAAAATGTTCAATATAAAGGGGAAAGCAGACCTCACTTTCAGCCCAGAACATTGGGGAAAGTAGAATAATACGAGTAGCAAAGGACTTGATCCGGCGTCATCATTGCAAGGATCAGCAGCGGCCCTGTTTAGAGTACTCGGAACTAAATCTCATGAAGACCCGTACCAGTAATCGGAAATAATCATCGAGAAGTTACGTCACCGTATTCATTGGAAGAGTCTTCATGGAGTCGCATCGTTTATCCTGCCAGGAAATGATTTACCATTGTGCCTTGCTTGATTAAAGCAGATTCCGGGATGCATCCAGTTTCAGACAGTCATTTCATTATGGTCAAGGACAAGGTGTCGGCTGGCAACTGGCCACAAAGAAGGGGAGAAGGACCATCAATTCTGCAACTTGAAACCCCCATGTTAAGATAGATAAAAAGCACCATCGTACGAGTGAAAAGTCAAGACAGAAAAGCGGATTCGAGGAGATACGACATGAAAGCGGATGTTCGCTCCGCCAGCGACGGCCCGAGATCTTGATCGAAGGCGTTCTGCATGACTAATCCGATCCCGCCACAAGCTACAAGCCACAATTCGCTATACTTGCCTAACAAGACTCAACTCCGCTGTGTCCGCCAAAATTTTTGGGAACTTCACGCCTCTATGAATGATCGTGGAACGAGTCTTACACGAGAAGTTGTCTTTACCTGTTATATCTACGAATCTTCTCCTGTACGAACCTCTTTGACATGGCAAAAGCCAAGGCCAAGTCCCAATCAACGGGCAAAGACATTCTTCGATCCACAAACTCGCGTCTCGTGAAATCCGCAGGGCCAAAGCAATCCCAGCGATCGACCGAAGACCTTTTGACGGAAGCGGCACAACTTCTCGAACAGTCACAACCCGACCTTGCGCTGCCCCTCGCCGAGCAAGCACTTCGACAACTGGAGGCTGAAAGAGACACCGAACAAAATGCAGATGTGGACGCACTGTTACAACTCGCCGCGCAGGGTAAATCAACATTGCCAGAGGCATTGCTCGTGAAAGCAGAGATCGAACTAGCGCTTGGAGACGCCGACTCTGCAAGACAGGATTTCTCCCGTGCAGTACAGATCGACCAAAACGGCGCTCTCGTGAGCGCAGAGCCGTGGTTATGGTTGGCACAGTTGTGCGAAGAAGGTGGCAGTAGAAGCATATCGTATTTCGAGAAAGGAACAGAGGTACTACGCAACGAGATTGATGTACTGGAAGACGAAGATGCACAGTCTCTGAGCGAGACGACAAATATTCTAGATGAGAAAAGGGCCAAACTCGCAGATACCCTTTGTGCAATGGCCGAGGTCTACATGACGGACCTGAGCTGGGAAGAGGACGCTGAACAGCGATGCGAAGCATTTGTTACCGAAGCTGTCGCAGTGTGTCCTGAGTACCTGAGCGCTGGTGTTCTGCAGACGTTGGCGAGCGTCCGCATAAGCCAAGAGCGCATCGATGACGCCAGACAGGCACTCCGGCGGAGTATGGAGATCTGGAAGGACATTCCTGCAGATACTGAGTCCAGCTCACGGCCAGACTTTGCCACTCGCGTCAGTCTGAGCAGGCTACTCATGGAAGTCGAAGCAGAGCCAGAAGCCATGACAGTTCTTGAGGGATTGACCCGCGAAGACGACCAGAGTGTCGAATCTTGGTATTTGGGCGGATGGTGCCAGGTGCTAATTTCACAGAAGCCGGGAACGGCGCCAGAAGAACAGACCAAGAGTCAAGAGACGGCGAAGAAATGGCTTGACAATTGCCTTAGACTGTATCGGCTTCAGGAATATGAGGATGATCGGCTACGAGACCATGCGCTCGAACTGGTGCAAGGCTTGAACAAATCGCTTGGCGTAGAGGACCAGATGGATGATGACGACGCCTGGGAAGACGAGGAAGAAGACGATGCCGACGAGGACGGAGATGTTGAGGTTGATGAAGACGGTCCTAATGGCCATCAAGATCGTGATGTTGAAATGACATAGCTTGCTGCTGCAGAAGATAATGTAACCCAGACTGTTGGGGTTATCGCAAAGAAGACCACGTTCATAGGTGTTCGTCTTGGATCGTCTTTGAAAAGCCTGCTACGTTGATCTTCTTCAGTATCTGTCCAGCTGATTCATTTTTCTGGGTGAGAGCTGTTAATCTTTCGTAGGTCTAATCCAGGAGAACTGGATATGATGACGACTGACTGTTGGCCGGCCTTGGCTGTAGCATCGAGCAAAACAAAGGTGCAGAGGTCTCTTGGTGGGTACGTCAACGTGCCTTTGAGTCTGGACTCGAAAACTCGAGTCTATACCGACCCAGTGAGGAACCATACGGATGAAGTCTCATCATGTGCATAAAATGCCACATCCCATCCAGCCTCAGTCTTCTTGCCAGGCACTTTTCTTCACCGAATCTTGGGATCTGCTTGGGCCGATGCCAACTTTCACCTTGGACCAATCTCGTTGCATAAGATGATCTCCCTCTTTTTTACTCTCCCTGGAGCTTTCCAGATAGAACCGACCCCCTTCGTAACACCCCAGGTACAATCCACTACCCAGTGCCGTCCAGCAGCCTCGAAGCAGCGCTCCTCTGAACAGACCTCGGATGCCATCTGTTCTGAGAATCTCTTTCGCAACAGTGAAACCACTCTTCCTGGAACTTTGAATTCCATGCATGAGAAAACTGGATTGTTTACCTTTCGCCTCTTGTTTTGCTGGAGGGTCTTCTCCAGAAGCCGCGAGCATTATCCTTGTCTTCACCACATCAATAGGAGTCGTGATCCACGCGGCACCACTACCAGCTATACCGGCACTCATGGCAGTGATCCCGGCTCGCTCCAGTATTCCATCGACCGGTGCCCCTTTCTTATCTTTCCGCCGCGCCATAAAATAGTTCTTTAATGATTCGAAGGCAGGAAACTGAAGGCCAGTAAAGGGGAGATTCCTCGCTGCGAGAGCTGTGTATCCTCGCCACAATTTGGTAGGTTGTTTTCGGAAGTTCTTGAGCACCTGAAGGGATGTGGAGCCCTTTTTCCCAGAGCTCAGCATCTGAGCATTTTGCTTCAGGACTTCGGCCGGTGTCAGGATTGCGCAGCTAACCAATTCAGCGCCACCGCTTGCGAGTGCATGTACGGCAGGTTTGGGGAGGTATAGAGTGGAGTTCGGAGGGACAACATCTTCGAGGCTATACTTCAAGGCTTCATAGGTCGTAAAGAACGCGCCGGAGGAAGGAATGGTCATGAGTATGATAGACCCAACGCCTTGGTATAGTCCACGGAATAAAGAGCGGTTCGTTGTGCCATTGGCATTTTTGTATAGCTTCACATAATCCTGCGACTGAAGACGTGTTTTGAGGGTATCAAGAGGGTAAACAAGCAGGTCGACAGAGAACGCCGCAAATGCTCCAGCCTACACGGATGTTAGAGTGCTAATACCCTCTGGACGAACTCGACTTACAAGCCATATATCGAGATTAGTATTGGACGACATGGGTGGCCTCTATGGCCCAGCAAACATGTGCGATAAAACAAATCTATATACACATTTATATGAGCACGAGATATTCGAACAGAAACAATGATGCGGACAAAAAATATATCAACATTCGTCATACCACAGGACGACGCTGCCGAATATTAACCGCAGAGCCCGATACAACGACGGTGATCGTCCGTGTCCCTAACACGATGCTGCGTCTTCCTTTTCATGAACCGGAAGTGGTTCCTCGCAGTGACTCTCGTTCAAAGTATCAGCATAGAATTCTCCCTCCCCATCAGAAGGATGTTGTCTTCGCGTTTATGCCTTACATGCGTGGGAACTAGCCAAACATGTATCTGCAATCCACAACCTTGTGCAAAGGCAACAGCTTTGCACGACATGTACCAAGTAAATCGACGTTTACCGAAGAGATGTTAACTCTGTAGACCTTTGATAAGCACCCTCCTCATACTCAGTGATCATCCATCCCAGAATGCAGCCTTGTATCCTTAAGTGGAAGACCCCTCGCCATACTTTCCTCGATACTTGAGGGTCGGCAGACTTTCCACTTTTCGATCCTCCGCAAAAATGTCCGCTCCCACAAAGGCCCATGGCCTATGCCACATTGAACCAACGTCGAACACATACACAGCAACGATGGCTGCCCCTACAGAGTGAGTCGTTATCCTCCAGGCGCACTTGGAGACGGACACTAATATGTGCACAGAAAAGAGACGCCTCTCAAGGCAGTCCAGCTCGAGGCGCTGGTAAGGTCGATCTTGAAATCTTCTCCTTCCCCACTGACAGTGGCTTCAGGTGGTCATGAAAGTGATCAAACACTGTGCATCTCGTTTTCCCACCGTCGCAACTGGTTTCATCACTGGTATGGAAAGCAATGGGACCCTCGAAGTCACCAACTGCTTCCCTTTCCCCGTCGTCGACCTACCACCAGAGGCGCAGTATGATCAACAGCACTTTAACAGCGCTGCTGCGGCGCCCCGAGCGAAGTCGAACACACAATATCAAGCTGAATACATCAGGATGCTACGAGAGGTCAACGCAGATGCGAACAATGTGGGGTGGTATACAAGTGCCAACTTGGGCAATTTTGTAAACACCAACTTCATCGAGAACCAGTTTCACTACCAGAAAGAGTTGAACGAAAAGACGGTTGCGTTAGTCCACGACGTCAGTCGCAGCTCCCAAGGTATCATGAGTATCCGAGCCTTCAGAATATCTCCTCAGTTTATGACCGCCTACAAGGAGAACAAATTCACCACTGAGAAGTGAGCTTTTCCAAAGCCTGCCATTAGATGTTTAGTGCTAACAAATACCTCAGCCTCTTAAAGTCCGGATTGAAATATACCGACATTTTGGTTGAGCTTCCTGTGACTGTCCACAATTCCCACCTGGTCACCACATTCCTGCAACAAATCCCTAAAATGCTGTCGTCTGGTGTCATGAGACCTCCAACCTCTGTGGCTGAGATTGAGAACAACCCAATCATCAAGAACGACACCTTGGCACCAAACTTCGAGAGCCTCACTATCTCCATCGATCCTTACCTGTCCCAAACAGCCGACAACTTGCTTGACTCAATTGAGACTCATCATGTCGAGGCTAACAACTTCTCCTATTATCAGCGAGCGATGGCTCGAGAGCAGGCTAAAATTCAGCAATGGCAAGCCAAGCGCAAAGCTGAGAACGCCGCTCGAGCGCTCTCCAAACAGCCACCGCTACCCGAAGACGAGTGGCAGAGACTGTTCAAGTTGCCGACGGAGCCAAGTCGCCTGGAGAGTATGTTGAACAGCCGACAAGCCGAACAGTACGCGCGCCAAGTCGACGGCTTCGTTGCTGGTACAACTGGAAAGATGTTCGCTGTCCGTGGTAACTTGCTCCCCAACGAAGCCAAGGATGAGTGAGCTATCGTTATACGATTCGATATCAAAGACGACGGAAACAAAGCGAGATTGGTGTCAAGCCTTTTTCACAGTAGAACGAGCTCAACGCGACACTGGAATGAGCATGACATGGCATAGCGTCAGGCGTTTTGGCGTTGGGACTGAAAACAATATATTGTACCAGGCTGTGGAAGGCTGGGCTGTAAAACTCAGGGGAAGCAACGTCCAAGGGCGTGAAAAACAGTTCTGGGATAGAGAGATCCGGAACTTCAAACGAAAGGGTCAAGGGGCTTGTGGTAGGAAATGCCGTAGATGAGAAAATGCAAACAGGAACAATCATCGGGAAAAACCACATCCTACAAGTTCTTTCCAGAACCTTTTCAGTCACAGTATGTCTTTTTGGTAGCCTTATTTCCACAGAGACCTTCGCTTTCACGTTGTGAGAGGACAATAACCCCTTCCTTCGCGACCGATTACTTCCACATTGTAGGTATTTGAAGTATGCGTATGTTCGTGTTCGGATCGTGTTCCCCTTCTGGTCCGGTGTAGGATATCATATCCGCTAGGTTGTCCATTGAAACTCAAACAATACGTTCACCCTCCCCTTTCGGCATTGGCCTCCTTGCAGGGTATGTACTTCTATGTGATGTGCATTCACCCCGTTGAAATCCATCCCAACGTAAATACGTCTGCTTCTTGTACCACTCACCCTCTTCGGGCCTTTTAACAGCAGCACTGGGGAGAGATGTCGGGCTTTTGTGATGAGAGCGAGGTGGACAATTGCATAACTTGGGAGGTATTGAGATAGGCGGATGGCGAAAGCCTTCGAAGGCGGCATGTATACTGGTCATAATATCTCGCCGTTGAAGCGTTGCGTTGGAAACTATTCGATCGGACGGCTATGTCGTCTTGAACCAGAGAACGTAACGTATAGTTGTAAATACGCAATGGAAGGGGATGGTCGAAGGACGACGAAGTCGACACGCTTGTATCGGTTGGAGTTGGCGGGAGGGAAGGGCTTGGACTGATCCGTAACTGCGGGCTGATCACTGGCTTCGGGGGTCATTCGGAGGGCCCGAGCATCATTGTCATAGGTGTCTCAAGCGCCTGTTAGTACCTAAGGTAGGGAAACTGTTAGGTAGGTAAGGTGAACGCTCATGGACGACTGTAGACGCCCTGTAGGTACCTGTCGGTAGGCATCTTTCACCGAATTGGCATTCTCCTACAGTGCTCCTCCCTCTGCTAGCAACGAATGCGTCACCTGTCGAACACAATCACGATATCTTCCCCTGCATTCGCTCATTAGTTGGATCTCACAACTCACCATCAAATTGCCTTATGAGCCAAATACATGCACGATCAAAGCATTTCGCATGTCCTGGTATGGTCAAGAAACGATTTTGCTTAGCGTCATGTTCTCTGAATCATCAACTGCATTCCGCTTCTTTGACAAATACATACACAAACCAACACCACATTCTGGTCCTTGCCACCCCCAACAGCACCCGGCACTGTGTCCAAAATCTTGAATGCTCCAAGTGCTGTGGGTGCCTGACTCAGCGTCGAACTAGAACATCCTTCACAACGAACCTTAAGGTCTCCAGAGTCCATAGAGACTCGAGCGGACAGATCATACGCCCACGCTCCACTATTCTCTCGGGACACCTTCGATCATATTTGGGGCTCTCAAGCCCAAAATAGAACAACCATGCCAGCCCACTCCTACCGGCTTGTCAAAAGGGCATGTTGAAGGCAGAAAAAAAAATTCAAATCCGACTCAAAGTATCCGTGCCACCGACAAACGGCTCAGTTCCAGTTGCGAGCCTGTGCAGCCTGATCGGCATCTCGAGCTCTCCGCTCTGCATCTGAGCCAGCATTCAAGAGCTGGTTCTGGGTTTGCTTTTTCTGACTCGACAATTGAGCGGATAGCTTGCCACCGGTCTTGTTGCTTTTAGCAGCTCGTTCCTATGGGACCCAGGTCAGTCGCTGCAGTCCAGCCACATCAGAGGATCCAGCGGGGACCTCGACTGTCTCAAGGAGAAAATGCATGTCAACATTTGCGATGAATCTCACCTCGGCGGCTCTGGCAGCAGCACTTCGAGCATTGTCCGGGCTTGTTGCTCCGTCTCTACTACCACCAAGTTTCCGGCCGGGGATGCTCTCCGTCAGTCTCTGGGGGGGTCGAGCTGTTGCCGGCTTTGGTGCCGCGTTTGAACCCAATGTATGGCCAGGAGTGGAGAAGTTGTCCGGCTGATTGGCGGACTTCGAGCAGATGTTCCCCATTGTCCAGGTCTAAGTACAAGCGTAGAAGGCGACGCTTTGGGAGTTCGCGACACCTCGATGGAACTAAGGTCCCCACGAGAAAGAAGAAGTAAGGTTCATGCGCTGGTTGCGACGACCAAGAGATAAACGTTCGAGTGTGACTGCTTGGCGGGTGCGCGGCAGTGCAGAATTGCCACTGGTGGGGAAATGGTTCGCCGTAGTAGAACCTTCTTGGACGCACTGCGACCGTGAACTCCACATACTAACCTCATCCCACCCCTAGACTCGTTCCCCAGACCTCGTCACGAAGAACGGAGATGATCATCCGTGATGGATGCAGCAGTCGTTCGCTTAACAGAAAGAGCACATCGATTCATGTTCTGATCTGCCGTGGGGCAGTAACCCGTATAGAGATATTCACCTCAGCGAGATCTCGGTGCCAAGGCTGTGTGCAAGGCAGTGAAATACCTAATCTGGACTTCATCCCTTGTTCCTCAGCAGCAAGACCAATACTCACCCTAAACCATACCCAATATGCGTCGATATGCCATTCGAGACTCATTCAGAAGATTTGAACTTCCCTTGATCAGCAGAGCGAGTCTTTTCTTCAAGATGCACGCAGAACTCGATGGTGACTGCAGACCACCACCAGCTAGATGACAATGAGCAGATTTCGCCCCTCTGTGGTCGAGGGGGTCGTCCAGACCCATTCCGGGCCTTTGGAGGACAAGTTAGATGACCGTTAGGTTTCTGAGTTTCCGATCCCCCGAACAATCCAGTCGAACCGAGGGGGGTCCTCCAAATCCATTCTGAACCTGTGGCGGACAAGTTCGATGACTGTAAGGCCTATGAATTTCCAGCTTCCCAACAATCCAGCCGAACCGGAGGGGGGTCCTCGAGACCCATTGCGGACCTTTGGAGGACAGGATCGACGACTGTAGGGCCTATGAATTTCCAACTCCCCCTGCACTCCAGCCGAACCGTCCTCATGAGAACAAAGCCTCATTTCATCTTACAAGTTAGGTGAAGCAAGATCTAGCTAGAAAAAAGACATGGTTGAATGCGGCTGAATAGGCTATGAAGGTACGCACTGGGGATTTTCCGGAAATATTAGACCGGAGGATTTTCTTGGAACTCGGGATGGACAGATCACAAGGGGTGATTCATCCCGGGAAGCAGAACCCACTCGGTCAATGTGGATGGACAGGGTGTACAGATTTGACATTAAGATCCGGCTATGATCTCAATTCGGATCTCAGTACGTCTCCACCGAAACGATTTTGCACAGTTAAGTTCTTCCTTCCTGCCGTTCCCTGCAGCAAAACTTCTTTAGCGGCTCAAGTACACAGGCTCACACGGCAATGAGACACGAACGTACAATGCGGAGCACTTTGAGGTGCGCGTGTGTGCGTAAACCCAATTCATGAATCATACGAATTTGCTTTTTTGTCTGTCAAATAACTTTGACTTGGTAGAGTAGGTTGCGAGTGCCTCCAGTACGAGGACCGGCCCATCTCACCTGTCTGGCCCCGTTGTGAGACTGAAGAATCATTCTCAGATCTTTCAAAGGTTTGGCTGGAGGAGCTCACTTGTCGAGTATACTTTGCCTGTCCCCAGGAATAGATTCAACATGCTCATCCGAATCTCTCAAATATGATCGGGTCCCCCTCCTTCTCATTTTTTCCTTTTCTTCAGGGAACTTCAACTGTATACTTCAAGTGTTCGACAACTTTTCACACACGACAACCACCAGCATCATTCCCTCAAATCCAAATCCAGACACTTGCAGTGCAGCCTCCCGCCCAATACAATACAACACAACACAGATTACATCAACATCTCACAACAGGAAGCATTCCTGTACACTTAACTCCAGCACACCCCGACAACAAAGTAAGATCCCATAGCCTTTGTGGACATCCTCAAGCTAACCATTGTTTTAGCTCCTGAGATCTCTCCGTTGCTATCTTTCAAACAGCTACCACAGCAAAGATGGCAAACAACGACAGAGTCGGTGGGTTCTCTTGCTCCTATCCGGGCTGTGGCAAGGTGTTCAAGGCCAAGAGCACCCTCACGACACATGTCAAGGGCATCCATGAGGATGCATATATTTGCAAGGGATGCGGCACCAATTTCAAGGATCCCTCCAATCTCAGGAGGCATCTAGCCAAGTGTGCAAAGGCATCTACGGACGACAAGGCTAAGGCCAGCGCCTCCTTTATTTGTGTGTGGCGCTCATGCAGGTACTCCAGCCGCAGAGACAATGTGATACGGCATCACCGAACCTGCAAATTGAAGCCCGAGGGCTTAGATGCCGCTTTTTCTCCTCTCCCTCTCAGGCTGAGTGAGGATGAGAAGGAGCAGGTCAAACACGGCCAGCTCCCTGCCACTATCAAACAGATTGGGCAAGAAGACCTCCCGACTCAGCAGGAGGCTCCTGGACCACAGGTCCATGTCGAGAATTTGGGCGGGGCGTTCTTCAAAGCCCCATTGCCGAGCCCTGAATCTTTGGGCAATCCCCTCCAGCTTCAAGAGCAGGTACCTGGACAAATTTTCCAAGTCCAGAACTTCGACGGGGCTTTTCAAGCTCAATGGACACCTCCTGAAGCTGGAGGAAACGCCCTCCTATGTCAACAGGAGATACCTGGACCACAACTCCAGGTTCAGGACTTCAGTGGGGCGCTCCAAGCCCACCAGGCGAATCCTGAAAGTTGGGAAGAGCCCCTCCCACGTCAACAGGGGGTTACTGGACCACTAGGCCAGTACCCAAGCCCAGAAGAGGTCAACGCCGCGAATACAACGCAGTGGTTGACCCCAGAGGAGAAGATAGAAATGTACATCCGACCGGCACTACTTCTTCTTGATTGGGTGGATGGACAGCGTCGCCTTGCAAAAGCACAACAACCACGCTCTCCACGCAGACAAAATCAACATTGGAACTGACAACAACAATCCGGAGGGAGCTGATAACACCTCGCCCAGCCAGCACTCGACAACAACTTTTAGGGAGCCCTCACTCACACCGCCGGCCCAGGAGCCCACTTCTTGGTCAATGATGACAATGTCACCATTGATACCGAGTTACAGCATCTACCATTGATCAATCTCCCGGATTATAAGCATGAGTGGCCAGTCCTCCCAGCCAATGTCCCCTCGACTGCAAGATATACGGTCAACAAGCTTGTCCTCGAATGAACACAGCACCTTCCCGGGAACAGTCACTTTAGGGTTGCGCATCATGTTCTTGATATTCAAGGACGTATCTGACCGAGTCACGCGAAGAGTCAACAACACTCAGTGGTCCGCCAGTTCCAGACTCCAGTTCGTCATCATCGGCAACCGAGAATGATCTTCAACGAAGGACAATAGGGCTGAGTCGAACACCCGCCAACTCAACAACGCGACAGTGATAGACAGTTAACATTTGCCAATAAATGACAACCTGTAACAAGCGGCGTTACAGATGGCAACCCCCGACCAAAATGACCGGTTACAGAAATCGATAAGAACCAGCACTGAGTCATGAACAATCGGAGGACAACAACTGCCCCAGCCAACAAAGCTATAGCCAACAACACGAAGAGAGCAGTCGACAAATATGCAACTCTCTATGATCAAGAAGCACCTCCATTCAACAGTAACCCATGAGCGACAAAAGCTCCCTAGTGACAGAAGCCCTTGTGCAAGAATAAGTTACAAGCAACAGCAACAGCAGGCTCCAACCCACAACAGTCTCTAACCAACAGCCAAACCTCCTGCATACTTAGCCACACTCGACAACATCCCACATGCAACATTCCTCTGCTAACAGCAGCAGTCAACGAACAACAGCAACTGACAAGAAGTATTCTCTCAAAGACAACAGTTTTTGAAATACACCAGTCACCAACAGTAGGTAACCTCTACAAGGACTACATGCTAATAAGAGCCTTTATTCGACAAGGTAATTCGGCAAAATACAACACTATTCGACAAGACACAACATTATTCGACAAGGAAATACCAATGACAAGAAACACCTGTTTGCCGACAACGACACCGACAACAGCAACAACAGCAACAACAGCAACAACAGCAACAACAGCAACAACAGCAACAACAGCAACAACA